GTGTGTTTTTTTTGTCTGTTTTGGCTGATCCATATCGCTCTCACAAAGTTCTGAAGCTTGAATGTTTAAATCTTAGTTTTTGTAAAAAAAAAATCAGTAGAGAATTACACCGTTAGTTCTATTCAAATAACACACAGCGCGAAAACTTGCGTGGTCAAAAAGTTAAAAAGTCTGATGTTACTGCCTCTCATTCAGCTTCTGATATTTTAGACACCCTTTCCGTGCTTTTAGAAAAAAAATTGGATCTGGCTTCAAATTAAGGAGAAGAGGACAATTTGAAAAAAAGTGCAAGATGCTGAAGCAAAAACACAACTTTATTCCTTAGATGTTGAAAAATATGTTTCTGTACAGCATACTAGCAATTTTTTAAAACAAGATCTTACAATACTCTTTTCATTCTTATTCAAAAGGGCCGACTTGAATTTGGCCCCATTACGTTTGGGTGAAGTAAATTGTAGTGGTAGTCCTAGTAGCAGTTTGTCATATCAATAGTTTAAAAGGTAATGTAGGTAAAGTAGTGTGACTTGTCCAAGTTTCAATTTATTATCTCATCGAATTTATATGAATCAATAGTATGTGTTTGAAATTCATAACTGCTCTTACATATGTAGAAGAAGTATTTGTATTATTATTTAAATGCTGTGTCTCAAGTAAAATAAATAGTGAGAAATAACTATGTTAGTAGAAAAGGGAATATTTAACCTGTGACATACTGGTCAGTTGATTGGCAAGGCAATCCTACAAAATCATGACATACATATGAAGAAAATTTGATCAGTACAAAAAGTTTTTCTCAAGTTTCCTTTAATGTAATGGGCTGAACAAGACTCAAAAAAATATCATAGCTACAAGTCCAACTGCTTCTCCATTTGACGCACATTGCTTGCATATATATGTATATAAATAGGGTATATACATATATAATACAACGCCAGAAAAATGATAAATTTTCACATGGTAAAGGGGCTAACCTGACTTTTCCCAATGAATTTAACAGTGCTAAATGCACTCTCTATATGATATGGCTGCTAGCTGAGAATTCGTTTGAAATCTTTTTGAAACGTATATAAAGCACATATTGGAAAAATAGGTTGTCCAAAACTTTGATGGCTGCCCATAAGGGCACAAATGCTGGGGCTATCTTGAACTACAAAAAATGGACATGTAGAAAAGCTGACGTTTAATTAAAAATCATCAATCTTTAATCTTACTCAGAAAAAGATACATACACCCAGAAACTCAAGAACAAAGACATTATTAGTTTGATTTTTTTTTAAAAAAACGAGTTAGTTGTATTATTGTTTTATCAAAACTTGATTCTAATGGATCTTTGAGTATTTTAGTCCTGGGTTCTTCAATGTCTGGTGAGTAAATCCATTTGCAAATTAAATTTAATTCACACTCCTGACACACACTAGCACACACACTCAATCACTCTTATGTTTTGTAGCAATATACAAAATTTTTGATTCTGAAGTGGAATGAACTAAACATACAACCATAACTGTTAATCATCAATGACTTTTTTCTCATTAACAATAAATGATAATGTGTTAATAGTAACAGTGGGAAGTCTTGAACAGAGGCAACAGGTATACTAACGATCCACAAATTGTATGGAAGGGATCTTAAGGATAGAAAAGAATGGCTTGCACCTACCCTTTGTATACAGTTGCTCATCTCAATCTAAAATAAGTAAACAACATTTGGATCCACAAGTTTCATAAAAGTTTTTAACAAGAAAATGTTTATTTTAATGGCAAACCATGAAAATAATAACTAGTATCAGTTTTGGTGCAGCTGCGACACAATTCAGATCCATGGCGAAACTAGGTATTTCAAGAAAGATGCAATTGTTGAGTTCAAGAGTAAAGAAACATAAAATATAAATTCGCTTCAGAGTCTGAACTTATATCAGAAATTCATCACCCACTTGTTTGAGATTCATTAGCCTTCAACTAGAATATTCATGTAAGGAAATAAAATAATCCAAGGAGGGCGAATTGTGGCATCATAAGAAATGCATTGCTGCATGGCAGGAAAGGTTATACACAGTATATATGGTACATAGTTTGCCATTAAAATAAAGTCACATTAGAACAAATTGAAACAGAAAAGAAAATAAGTGAACAACATATGGTCAGTCAGGATTAACACGTCTCCTCTTTGGGATCATACAAATCTGTGTAAATGCAGTGACCCCAAAACACATTCTGCTCCCTTCACTATGCTACCCTACACAGCAAAAATCACTCTCCATCTTCCGTCTTCATTTCCCAAATCCTCTTCATCTTTTCTTGGTTGGCAGAACTGAGCACCAATAAGATTTTAATGTCACTTTTTTAAGTTTATAATATTTTATTTCTGTCTTTGCTATCATATCACAGTAAAATGTAAAACCTAAAGTAAAGAAACACAACAGTAACTTAATTTCATAAAGCCAGCTCTTGTCTTAAATTTACAGAGAATTGTGAATTTGCACAAAAAACTGTACACTTTATCAGTTATGAGTCAAGATAAAGAAAGTAAGTTTTCCACACAACGCAGTAGAGAACAATAGATAAAAACTTGGCAGTAGATGCACTTGGCAATCTGGTGAAAAGTCTTTTGGGACACCCTCTTGGGGGCATCTGTCCCAGTGGCCCCACATTCGGCACCCCGAGGGAGCGAAGCACTGTCACAAAGGTCACAATGTGCGCTCGGTTTCAACAATAAAAAACAAGGGGACTTTATACACATTTTTTCAATAAATAACAACAGGCTTAGGCGGG